CATATATGGTGTAATGAATAAGAACTTTCAACAAGAGTATCTGAAGATTCTCCGATGTAGATATTGTCGCTCACAAACATTTGTAGAGCCATTTAACTCAGGGGAAAGAGGCACTGGTTCAGTTGCGACAGCCACTTAAAAGCCAAGCTAACTGACTAAACTCTGCCGAAGTAATTTTTTCGGCAGTGGGAAAGATATCCTCAATTTAAAGGAGATTACGATATGTAAGCTAAGTAAGATAAAGAAAATAAAAGCGGCAATGGTAGATTAAAAAGAACAAAAGTGATTGAGGGTGGAAAAGACTCAGACGAATTTGAAAAACGAACTTGAGCGGGTTTAATTCAGACAGGCACACCGGAAAATATGTCAGAGCTGATTGTGGGCGTTATGCGAGTATTTCTTTTTGAGGAATTACTTCTCAAGATGAAAAAAAGCTACAAAAAAAATCCTTACATCTGCAGGGCATTGCGCAGGCAATTGAAAATTTACTATGATAATCACGTCGTGAAGAGATCCTTTCTTGTACCAGTTTTAATTTGAACTTTGATGTGAAAAAGACATCTGCTCAACTGCACATAGCACCTATCCATGGTCTATTATCATATTATGATTCGCAGTTCGAGTATCGATTTTTTCTTTTCTTTTCAGGGATGACATTGTCGGGAGAAATTAGATGCTAGTCACTTTCAGGGGTGAAAGGGTTAAGAAGAATGCTCAGCAATCCTGCATGATTTGAAAAGAGCCTTCATAACGATAAATACTGAGAGCACCTATATGCTTAGGATTAATTCTAGATGAGAGCAAAAAACAAAAAATAAAGACAGATGGACTTCAGTTCGCGCATCTATCCCGTTAAGTTGACGCGTAAGGTACTATAGATAAAACTGCTGCCGAGAAAATTTCCTAAGGGTGCATCATGAAATTAAAAAGATTGAAAGTTTGCACAAGTTCGCCTTAGTTGCCAACTCGCCTCGCAAGGTAAAGCAACCACAAAAATCTGTAGTCATTGTATGTGCAGATTTATGGTACATATTTAGCCTTCAAAACTTGGCGCCTGAAAGTTGAAGGACTTCAGAACATGACTCAGAGAAGCGCGTTTAAGGGGTTTGCCCGCGAAATTTTGATCCATTCTGGTTCGCTACTAACTGGCTTAAACTGACTATAGGTGTTAGACAAGGCTGCTCGCTCTCCTGTACCTCTTTATACTTGGGGCTAAAATATCATCGAACAAGCTTCGACAGACAGTTGAAATCAAAGGGACTCATTTGTTCGGAAGCGAGGTTAAGACAAATCGGTTCGGAGATGATAATAACTAATTTTGCACAGATTTCATCACGGTAGATCACGCTTTTAATATGGTTGATAGATCCGGTTTCTTCTAAGGTTTAAAATTAAATGTGAAAAAAACTAAGGTGATATGGTCAGGAAAGTGGTCAAAGAAGAAAACAAAACCCTTACAACAACAATGAACTGATAAACCTGTTAAAATTTTAGGGAATGCAGTTCTCCTATGATTAAAACAAGAGTAAGCTTTATAACATCGATCTTAAAATTCCAAAATTGCAGACAAAACTGGATTTATGAAAAGCAATTAAGAAACTTAACACTTTTCGGAAAGGCTTCGATCATTAAGTCACTTAGGCTATCCCAGATAGTATATACAGCGTCCAATGTCAACGTTAAAATTAAGAGAGAAAGTATTCATCAAGATTGCAATAAAGGGAGAATTCGTATGACCGATGTCGATCTAATGATTAAGATTTTAAGACTTGCCTGAAGCCCGACGGTTGCATCTTGAAATTTTATACCAGAGTTTTTCTTTGAAATACTTGGAGGATTAAACTTTCTGCTAAGATGCAACTATTACAAAAAATATTTAGATCCCAAATTACCAGTCTTCTACAAGGTTATTCTAAAGTTCTTCTCCGACATTAAATTTATTTATATATGCACAGGGATAGGAAACTATCCTTTCTACCAATAAATAAGATAAAGATTAAGATTAAGATTCCGGATCTCCTTTAGCACTCTTCGTTACTAACCAGATGGTGCCAGTATGTATTGCAGAAATACTCCGTCGAACATTCTTTTAACGATCAATGTCAATTGTCAATTCTCAAAAGCTCTTTTGCGAAGAGTCATTCAATGGATTAGTAACATCAACTACTTTAATCTTCATCCTTCGGTTAAAGAAAAATCATTTGGGTTGTTTCCTTCCTCTCCAATTATGAGCAAAGCTCTCTCATATAGATCCAATGTTACATGTTGAAGTTTGCTGGTGTAAATGTAATAGCGCATATATATGCGCTATTACATTTACACCAGCAAACTTCAAAATCGATCATTTGCTCTCTCGGGCTTTGTAAAAAAAAATGCTAAGCACTAAATACGATGTAGAACAGATACCAGGTTAAAGTCGGTCTTCCGTCTGTCTGTAACTGTTTCTTCAGGTTTATTTTTTTATGTCAAAACCCTAATTATTCCCCCCTTCCATAACAACATTGTAATTTCGTATTCAGAACCGAACTGGAATGTTTTGTTTTTTTTTCTATTTGGTTGTAATGTTGCTGGTTTACTCTCTTTACTTCATTTTTCTTTCTTCTTCCTTCACCTTTTTTCCTATGCATCTATGTAGTCAGTAGCTGAAACGAATAAATGCAAAAATGTACCTATGGGGTTGGTTCTTAGTATTTTAAAATAATTTGTTTTAATCAACTGAGTTGGCCACCGTAAAGAGTTTTTAAAACTGACGTTTAGTCTTTGGCTAGAGAGAATACCCGACCCTTCATCAGATGAATGGCTAACGCTCGAAACATCAGCTTTAGAAACTCCTTACAGAGGCCAAAACCAATTTATCTTGTTGTAAACCCCACTGACGCAGCACCACAATTTTTTTAGAAACTTACCCCTTTATTTATTGCTGGGTATTTTAGTCAGATTTAAAAATAAAAGTTAAAAATAAAGATGTACCTTAACTTCAGTTAAGAACCATAGGTTATCTTCTTTGCGGTTCGAAGTTAACCTCCACTCCTCGCGTACAACTATATACTTATAATATAAATCGTTTAAGTAAAGGACTACATATTTCAATAGCCTATGTAAAACATGACAGGTTATTTTGAAAAAAACAAATTAATCACTTTCGAGTGGCCGATTTTGGATTTTGGCCACTAGTGGCCGCTTTTCGATTGTAGCCATTAGTGGCTTATTTTGGGTTTTGGACACTAGTGACCGATTTTGGGTTTTGTCCACAAGTGGCAGCTTCTAGAGTTTAAACATTAGTGGCCGATTTCGGATTTTGGCTACTAATGGCCGCTTTTCGATTGTAGCCATTAGTGGCTTATTTTGGGTTTTGGACACTAATGACCGATTTTGGGTTTTGTCCACAAGTGGCAGATTCTGGAGTTTAAACATTAGTGGCCGATTTTGGATTTTGCCAACTTGTGGCCGATTTTGCATTTTGGCCACTAATGGCCGATTTGGATTTTGGACATTAGTGGCCGATATTACGTTTTGGCCATTAGTGGCCGATTTTGGATTTTGGTCACTAATGGCCGATTTTGGGTTTTGGTCACTAATGGCCGATTTTGGGTTTTGGTCACTAATGGCCGATTTTGGGTTTTGGACACTAGTGGCCGATTTTGGATTTTGGCCACTAAACGCAGTGATCGACGGATGTGAGATATCAGACTAGTTCAAGATTAAGTCTGGAGTAGAGCAGGGATGTTTAATGTCGAGATTCTTACCCTTACTTGCCATGGATTGGACATGTTGGATTATGAGGAAGACAACAGCGAACGAGAGAAGGGGGGAACGGTTGAATTTAATAACAGTTTTGGACGATCTTGAGTTTGCGGACGACATCGCACTACTTTCATCCAAGTTTAATGACTTGCGTGAGAAAACTGGGAGACTGACGGAGGAAGCACCCAGAATAGACGATAAACCTAATGCGAGAAATTGCAAGACACCGAGGACTTAGTTTGCAAGGAACAGGGAGAGCATCGTGGTGAATTGTGAAGAAGTGGAAG